CACCAAATTGGGAGAGATAGCTAATACTTCAGAAGACAGGAGCAGAATTTAAAACTATCTTAATATATTGGAGAGATGGGCCAAAACTAACAAAATGGAGTTCAACAGTGACAAATGCAAGATACTTCACTTCAGCAGGAACAATGAAATGCAAAGATAAGAATGGGGGATGCCTGGCTTGATAGCAGTACATGTGAAAAAGATCTTGGAGTCCTTGTGTACAACAAGTGAAAATGAGACAACAATGTCATGCAGTGGCTAATAAAGCCAATGAGATTTTGGCCTGCATAAATAGGAGTCTAGTGTCTAGATCCAGGGAAGTCATGTTACCCCTCTATTCTGCCTTCGTCAGACCACATCTGGAATACTGTGTCCCATTCTAGGCACTGCAATTGAAAGGAGATGTTGCCAAGAATGAATGTGTCCAAAGGAGGGCAACTAAAATGATCAAGGGTCTGAAGAACAATCCTTATGAGAGCGGCTTAAAGAGCTGGGATTTAGGGACCAACAAATACGTTCTTATGTTCTGTAGCTTTTTAAATGCATTTCTGTTCTTCCTGAATTTCCTCTGGCTTTTAAAAAGAGCTCCTGTTGTTATTTCCAGTGAATTTTGCTGTTTCAATTTTCTGCTGGTAGGTTTTATATTTTTATTATCATGCTATTAATACTCCCTGGAAACTTCCCAGGGAATTAAAGGATAGAAATTGATCTGATACATAAAATAAATAGAGAGGCATTTGGATACACCTACACTCTCCCCTGTCTCCTGATAAGTATATTAGGGAATAGATGCCCTGCCATATTTTCTTGCAAATAGGGTGCTAGCATTGCAAAGGATCTTTCTCTCTGAGTTACATAGGTTTCAAAATTTTATAATTCTGCAGTACAGATAACACTGTGTAGAATTGGAAGGAAGTAGGTGCAAATAATTACTTATGTATAATTAGTTCATTTCCCCAATGTTTACCTACATTAAGGGCAACCCAAGGAGATAGAGAGGGTATGCAATTCTATGTCTCTTCATGAATTTGAGTGCCATTGTGTGTTAATTGGCTTAAAGCACCTAGGTTCATACTTTAGTTCCTCTCCCAAAGCTCACCATTTGGATTTGAGGGGTTGAATGCCGCCTGGAAAAGTAAAATATGCATATAATTAATATAAAGATATATTAATGACATCGTTTAATCATTTAGACTGGCATGATTTGATGGATATTTCTCTGTCTGCTGGTATATGATGATTCCCATAGTCATATCTATAGTTTGTGCGGGCAATCAAATACTCTGTCTAGTTATCAAGCATGTCGCTTTAGATAATGGGGCACATGTTGTTCTTTGCTTCAAAATGTTTTTTATACCAAGAGGAACAAATTCCAGTACAGATATCCACACTGCATAATTGTGTGTTTGCAAAGTAGCAAATTAGTGAAGGTTGGCTTAACCAATGCCCTCTTAACAGTTGTTACACAAATAATTAAGGTTGTTTTTGCCTAGGACTAGCAATACAAAAAAAAGAGAGAGGAAAATAATGTTTATACAGTATCAACTTGGGGTGTTGAGAAAGTATGCCACTTCCAGTAGATCAGAAACCTATAAATATCTTAAAGGTCAACAGTAAGAAATTCTTACTGCTGTCTGCTTCCTGTATAGCAAAAGCCATTCCTCTAGCATTCTGATACAGTAACTGAGTCACAAATGGGGATTTAACAAATATAATATTATTTAAACTACAGCCCAAGATTAGGATGGAAGAGATTGACAACAAATACCAGGAGCTACATTTCAGGCTATATTTCAGAGGAAGGAACTGGAAAAACCATCCCTGAAGATTCCTTAGCTAACAAAACCCTATGAAATTCATGAGGCCACCATAAATCAACAGGAGACTTAAAGGCACATATATAAACACACACATATTGAAAATGAAAATCTTGAATTAGGTGGCCAGTTAAACTAGTGGTCCATTTTGCTCAGAACCTTGTATACCTGATGGTTCACATCTGACCATGCATCCTTGGAAGTCACAATTACCATCAACTCATCTAATTCAACTGAGACTATAATTATGCAGAATGCATCAGTTGAGGCTCTTTAATAGAATAAAATTCAGTAAAGGCAAATGAATAACAACAACTTTATTTGGGGTGGCTCACATGGGGACCTTACTTAGGCGATCCCTCTTAGTCCGGGGATGGTGGTCCTCCAAGTTCGGTGTCCTGGCGGTGGGGCCGTAGGTGGCTGTGGAGCCCTATTCTTGATCTGCATCTTCTTCCGCAGTGAGGTCATTGGTTTCCAGGTGGAAGGCGGTCTCGTCGGGGTTAGCTTGACATGCCTTCCTCTTGGCACATTTCTCTCTTTCACCCTCCATTCGTGCCTCTTCAAATTCTGCAGCACTGCTGGTCACAGCTGACCTCCAGCTGGAGTGCTCAAGGGCCAAGACTTCCCAGTTCCCAGTGTCTATGCCAGAGTTTTTGAGATTGGCTTTGAGCCCATCTTTAAATCTCTTTTCCTGTTCACCAACATTCAGTTTTCCGTTCTTGAGTTCGGAGTAGAGCAACTGCTTTGGGAGACGGTGGTTGGGCATCCGGACAACATGGCCGGTCCAACGGAGGCAAATGAATAACAACAACAAAAACAACAACTTTATTTGGGGTGGCTCACATGAGGACCAAGCCCAATATAAACAAGGTTACAAAGAACACAATCAAAAACTTATTCAGTAAAGTACTATATGATCTATATTTAGGGCCAAAAAATTAAAATGTATAGTTATAGGAATACTTTACAGTTCTACATATGGAAGGGAGTTTCTACATATGGAAGGGAGTTTGGGATTATTGTTAATTATAAATTGAACCTGACCCATTGAAGTGGGTCCCTTTCTTTCCCAACTTGAATTCCCCGTTGTCCCCGCATTTTCATTGCTCTGGTTGCTGTTTCCAGTACTAGTTTTGCTGGATTTGCTCATGACACCATTAATCGAAAATATGCAAAGCTAAGTTTGTTGAAATTTTCTCAGAGCCGAGCCTCATGAACTATCTATTCCAGAACCCCACCAGAAAAGTTTATGAACTTTTGCTGGATACCTGATTCCTCCTACCAATTTTTAGATATAATGCCTGAATATGAAGGTTGCATGTTGTAACTATATGGTAGTTTGCTATTCCCCATTTCTTTCACTTTGGTATGGAAAACTCACTGGTGGCACAGCGGGTTAAACCACTGAGCTGCTGAACTTGCTGACCAAAAGATTGGTGGTTCGAATTTGGGGACTGGGGTGAGTTCCCGCTCTTAGGCCCAGCTTCTGCCAACGTAAAAAAGTAAAGGTTTCCCCTTGACATTAAGTCTAGTTGTGTCTGACTCTGGGGGGGTAGTGCTCTTCTCCATTTCTAAGCTGAAGAGCCAGCATTGTCCGTAGACCCTTCCTATGTCCTGTGGCTGACATGACTGCGTGGAGTGCCATTACCTTCCTGCCACAGCGGTACCTATTGATCTACTAATTTTTGCATGTTTTCAAACTGCTAGGTTGGGAAAATCTGGGGCTAACAGCGGGAGCTCACTCCACTCCCTGGATTTGAACTGCCGACTTTTCACTCATCAAGTTAAGCAGCTCATCAGTTTAATCCGCTGTGCCATCAGGGGCTCCTAGCCACCTTGCAATTCGGGAAGGTAACGGCACTCCATGCAGTCATGCTGGCCAAATGACTTTGGAGGTGTCTATGGAAAACGTCGGCTCTTCGACTTAGAAATGGAGATGAGCACCACTCCCTAGTGTTGGACACAACTAGACTTAATGTCAGGGAAAACCTTTACCTTTACCTATGGAACATTTGCCGACATAACTGATACTAGAGAGAGTAGTGAAAGCATATTTTAAAATACATAGATAACATGTATAAATACTGTCCATTTTGTATTAATAGTTTGTGATGAAAATGTCGTTAGCAGTCTGGATACTTGATTGAATTGTGTTAACAATCCAAAGGAGTAAAATATCCTGACATCCTTTATTAATGGCTGCTTATTCCATCAAACACAACATGACTCCAGTTTGATTTCTATTATTTATTATTTTGCTATTGACAGAAGGTATTTTTACTCAGCCAGGAATTAAAGCTTCGCACATGTACAGATTGTGGAGCATATGTCTACCTTGTGTTTGGCAGAGATAATCTGTCACCTGTGGTTCCTTCCTCCCTCCGTCCATTAGAATAAAATACAATGATTTAAATATATAAGGGAACGTATGCGAAAGTCATTTGGGCTGCAGTCCTGTACTATCTTATTTGCAAGTAAACTCTTTTGAATTCAGAAAAATTTATATCTCCATAGACATGTTTATATCTCCATAGACATGTGTTGTGCTCAGTTTCTTCCATCTTAGTGGAACAAACTTGAGTAACAACACAAGTTAGAAGTTTTAAAATTGAGCTTGTGATTATTTTAATATTGTCGTTATAAGAGTAGATAACCTAGTTTTATCGTAAGTGACATTGAGCATTCTTGAGCAGATGGCCAGTTAAACCATACTTGAAATAACGAAACCTTTGTACGTTCTAGTTGACTCTGACTTCTGGTGACCTAAGAAAAATCTATCATGGTGTTTCCTTGGCAATATTTATTCACAGCGGAAGGACATGTCATTGCCTTCCTCTGAGACTCAGAAAGTATGATTTGCTCAAGGTCACTCAAAGGGTTTCCAGGACTGAGCTAGGATTCAAACTCTTGAATTTTTTAAAAATGCAGGACAGTTCAAAAGCTAATTTGAATTAGAAGAGTTTGTTGTACATTTGAGTAAGTATATTATTTATTTATTTATTTATTTGCAGCTTTTATATTCTTTTTCTTTGGAAGTTTTTCATTAGCTCTTGGTGACACGGACTGTAATAATGGAAACCTATTTTTAAAAATTTTATCTCACTGTATGTATGTGTATTTAAGAGTATATTGATATGATACTTGTAAGTGCTGATGAGGCCTTTCCTTCTTTTATTTTTCTAGTGAGGATGAAATGGAAGAAACAAATGGAACTAACCCTATTGACATTGAGGTTGAACAAAACAAGGAGAGCAAAAAAGAGGTATTTTTCTAATAATGTTTTCACATATCAGTTCATAAAACATAAACCCAAAAACACTGACGATGTGTTTCATGCTAGGTTTTAATTGCAATATCTCTAGCTGTTGCTTTGTCAGTACCATAACCATATTAGTATATTTAATATATTTTTCACCTTTGAAAAACATGCCTTGAATAACCAAAACTGTTTATGCATCTCAGGTTCATTCAGAGTCAACACATTCCTTGCTGTTTGTTGAACCATGCCACCTCCATGTATTCAATTTTGATCCCATTTTGAAGCTCTGTGATTTTTTAGGCTAATAGCATTGGCTAACCTAGAAGCCTTTAGGAATTTGCATTTCATCAGGGCTGGGACCTGAACGCCTGCTTCCTGTACTTGTTTGTTGCTTTACCTTGGTTGTTTATTCCACATAAGATACATTTTATATGCAATGTGTAAAAGGTCAGTGTGTATATTTGGGACCCTCTGCATTATTTAGCAAATAGATGCGGACTTCCAGTTGCTTTCATTTTTTTAATAAAAATATCATTAATAGTCCATGCAGTCCTTTACAGAGGTAAAACATTGGCTGCTAGACCCACCGAAGTTTTTCTTCTTTGCATTACATTATCTCTGCTATATCATTAGCATTTATGGGAAGGGGGGATACATTTTGATGGACACAGAAAATGGAAGAGTAGAATCCATTTTGAAAGTCAGTTTCTCATCATTTAGAATAATAGAACCATAGGATTGTAAGAGACCCCCAAGGAACATTCAGCCCAACCCTGTTCTGCAATGCAGGAAAATACAATCAATGTACCCTTGACAGATGGCCATCCAATTACTGTTTAAAAGCTTCCTAAAGAAAAAGACTCTGTCACATACTCTAAAAAAGAGCTTTCCACACTATGGTTGTTGTAGGTTTTTCAGGCTATATGGCCATGTTCTAGAGGCATTCTCTCCTGACGTTTCACCTGCATCTATGGCAAGCATCCTCAGAGGTTGCCAGGCATAGATGCAGGCGAAACATCAGGAGAGAATGTCTCTAGAACATGGCCATATAGCTCAAAAACCTATAACAACCCAGTGATTCCAGCCATGAAAGCCTTTGACAATACATTTCCACACTATGTTGTAACATGTTAGTATGGTGACAACAGTGCAGAGGCGTGCCTCATGAACTTAATGAGAAACCTCAGAGTCTATGTGGTATCAGCAATAAATCGCAAAAAATCGCAAAAAGTAATGCAAGGTTTTACTGAGATGTTGTGTTGCCATACATTTTATTATTACAATTTATATGTGTGTCCATATATCTTATAAAGAGTTGGCTTTATCTCCGGTTTGCTAGTAAAATGAATCACTATGTTGCAAAATGATGCATGGTTCAAAAGTGTGTCACCGACATGAAATTTTTGGAAAGTTTGGCTCTGAGGTCTTCTCCCCACTGCATTCAAAGGCATGGCTGGTATGGGAACACAGGAGATGGTCTTCTCTGTGGCAACTCCCACACTTTGAAACTTTCTCTCAGGGAAAGGTAAAATAGCTTCCAGCAGCAGGTTAGGAGCTTTTGTTTCTGGAAAGCTTTTGGAAATCGATTTTGACCAAAAAATCATTGTTGTATTACTTTTAATCTGTTGTAAAATAATATTTTAGTTGGTCTTGCTATTTCATACTATTATTTTGTGTGTGTTTTGACTACACTTGACCCTTCACATGTGTGGGTTTGACTTTTGCAGATTTAATTATCTGTGGATTTGATTAATATGATTTTCCTTGGAATTTCTAGGTCTTCCAGCACAATTCTGTGGTTTACATTCACCAGAAGTCATGCTGGAGGACTTAGTGCAGTGGTTCCCAACCTTTTTTTGACCAGTGACCACTCTCCAACATTAGTACCGAAAGGGTTACAAATCTGTTTTTGGTCAACTTTAGATTCCGGTTAGTTATTTGGGGTGCTGATTCAGCAAATTGCATTGGATAGACCACATCAGCTCTAGTTTCTGATACAGAACATATGCTATCCGGTGGTCACCATCTGCTTGCCCACAGAAAACCATACTTAATAATTTAGAGCTGATATGGTAATAGTAATCTTTCATAATCTTTTGTGAGTAGTCAGCCTCTCCCCTCCCAAAATTCCTGTTGCCTCAGCACTATAAGAGGGTTTAGCCAGACCAGTTGCTCTCATTGGCATGTGGTTTCAAGGCAGTGGTTTTATAATGGTGAGGCCGAGGACCATATTTCCATTCTTGTGGACCACTGGTGGTCCACAGACCACAAGTTGGGAACCACTGATTTAGAGATTCCTAGAAAGAGCACTTCTCTAGACATTTGTGGGTCTTCCAATGGGATTCTGTGGTGAACTGCAAGTAGAGGTTGACTAGAGAGTTGTTCTGGGGGGCCTAGAAATTCCTGGAATGGTGTTATTTCAAGTTAAAAGATAGTTTTAATATGTGGGTTTTCCACCTTCCCAGCTAACTGTATATGGGTTTTATTGTATTCTGGGAGAAAGACAGAACATGAAGTTGTGGATAGATGGATCACTGGGTTGGGAGAGAGAGACATTTTAATTTAATAATATACAAATATTGTGTTGCATCTAGATCCTAGGACACACAAGAGTGTTATTATCAAAATATTTGTATTTGGCTCATAGCCAGTTCAAAGGAAATTGTGAGCTGGTGTTATGAATGCGCTGCTATGTTTACTGATCCTGCAGACAGCTCTTCAGCTTGTGATAAATCAGAACAGACCTGCTCTGAGTGACACTGTTAAAGGAAAACTGAGCTGGCCTCTCTATGTAAGTGAGCCTGACACCTCTGTGTCTGGTGCAGCTTTGTTTGCACACTCAGGATTCATGCTGACAGATCGGAGATTCGTATGAATGCATTCAGTCCTCTCTGGAGCCACAGCTGCAGATCTGGAGAGATGGAGCAAGCTGAACGCTGCCCTTCAGGCATGTATTGTGGCCTGCCAGGCATTTGACAACTGTGCTAAGGGCTGCAAAACCAAGCCTTTCTATTAATGGATGACAAACTGTTTTCAATCCAGTGGGTTGCAAAGGATAGGAAGGATTGTAGATATGGAGCCATTTTGCCAGATAATGTTCAAGATCATAAATGATCCCTTCCTCAGTGCAGCCCTGCTTCTAGACTGCTTATCAGAATTTTGGACTTCCTATACTGGACATATTGCAGAACAGAGCTTCTTAAACAAACCCTTTTTTCTGAGAAATTTTGTGACCCCAGGATTTTTTTTTGTGTGCATGTCAGGAGCGACTTGAGAAACTGCAAGTCACTTCTGGTGTGAGAGAATTGGCTATCTGCAAGGACATTGTCCAGAGGATGCCTGGATGTTTGATGTTTTACCATCCATGTGGGAGAGTTCTCTCATGTCCCCACACGGAGAGCTGGAGCTGATAGAGGGAGCTCCTTCACGCTCGCCCCAGATTTGAACCTGTGACCTGTCAGTCTTCCGTCCTGCCGGCACAAGGGTTTAACCCATTGTGCCACTGGGGGCTCAATGTGACCCCAGGTATAAAGGTATATAAAATAGGTATAAAATCAAACATTTACTGATAATAAATCAGCATTTACAAGGCTTGCTAAACAAGCTAGTTTTCCTTTTATGAAGTACAGCTGAAACATCATCTGCAGAGTCCACTGTAAACACTGCACATTGTTGAAACTGGGTAGCTTTCAGAAATCTTTTGCTCTTGCAAAAATTTTCATGTCCCCAACATTGATCTAATGCGTAGGGACCTTTAGTTTCAGAAGCAGTGTTGTAGATTATGACCATGGTATTTATTTTTATTTATTTTATTTGTCGTGTCAGGGCAACCAGTCAATTATATTACATTTCTAACAGAACAAAGCAAACAAACAGACAAAATATAAAATTTGTGGCTTGGTAGTTGATTAAATGTCCTTTGACCAGTATCTGGCACTTGGAGTGCTTCTGGTGTTGCTGCAAGAAGGTCCTCCATTGTGCATGTGGCAGGGCTCAGGTTGCATTGCAGCAGGTGGTCAGTGGTCTGCTCCTCTCCGCACTCGCATGTCGAGGATTCCACTTTGTAGCCCCATTTCTGAAGGTTGGCTCTGCATCTCGTGGTGCCAGAGCGCAGTCTGTTCAGCGCCTTCCAAGTTGCCCAGTCCTCTGTGTGCCCAGGGGGGAGTCTCTCATTTGGTATCAGCCATTGGTTGAGGTTCTGGGTTTGAGCCTGCCACGTTTGGACTCTCGCTTGCTGAGGTGTTCCAGCGAGTGTCTCTGTAGATCTTAGTGATCATGGTGATGATATATTATATGTAATGCTGCCCCATTATAATGCTGTAAATTATTCTGACGTTGGCTAATCATTCCTATCTCAGCCTAAACTACCTCACAGTTTTGATTTTTGGATAAAATGGGGAACGTCATGTAGGGTTCTTTTGATTTATTTGAAGAGTTATACTATCATTGTCCTGAATAAATTGATAAGATGACCTTTGTTTTTGATAGACCCCTGATTAATGCTGAAATCTGGAAGCAACTCCCCTGTGTCCTTAGCTTGTTCTTTTTTTTACATATTCCTTTCATAATTGCGTACAATTAATTTCTTCAGTGGCAGGTGGATACATTTATCTGATACACCTAACGAGGCACCTCTGGAAGTAGCTTCCACTTTGGGAATGTACTGTGACACTGAGTGGTAATTAAAAACAGATTTAATCGAGATCAAATTCAGTTAAACTCTCTAGCTGCCAAATTCTTAGTTTAGGGCATTTAGGTGGCATCTCTGTCCCCGTATCTACTCTGGGAGCAATATTAAAGGGACCAATAACATTATTCACATTATCCAAGGAACGTTACCTTGTTCTTCCTCCGGTGACATATATATCATCTTATTCTAGCAATGCCTTCCTGTATTGGACAGCAAGATAGTCCCTACGAAAGAGGATAAATAAACACAAATCTGACATTAGAAATTGCACCCCCCCCCCAAAAAAAAATCAGTTATGGAACATTTCAGCTCT